AGCATTAGTGTGTGTGTGTATATATATATATATATATATATATATATATATATATATATATATATATATATATATATATATCAACGAGGGATAAATTGGCCACCACACCTGTCATCAGTGACTGCTGAGTGCCGGTAAAAGCTTGGTCAATCCACGGGCTCCGCCGGTTCACGTGTCTTGGCCTCCGCCTACGGCGTTGTAAACGGGTCCACGAAGAATCTGCGGTAAATAAATTGGCTGCACGGTGCCTCTCCTCGTATTCTCCCCATCCTCTCCCCCTCCGTCGCCTCGCCTCCTCCGCTCCCGGCACGCGCCGCCGCCGTACCCATCTTCACCCGCTCCGACTTCTTCTTCCTGCCTACTCCACTCCTCGCCTCGCCTTTTGTGTCTCGCCGGCCTACAGGCCGACGCTCTGGCCCCCACGGGCCACGACCCTCCTCCGCAACGTGTCGGCCTCGACCATGCACGTCGTCATCGCAATGTCGCATCCCCAGCCACGGCGTGTCCCCGGTGACGAGGTCAGGAAAGGCTCTGCGCAGCATGCCGCCTCGCCACCTCCGCCTCTTCGTCTCCCCTAGCGGCCGTGCTTCCTCCCCCACGCCATTGGCGCACGCCAATGCAGTGGCCGGCCTTGCTGGTGGCTGGGTGCGCGGATCCAAGATGCACAGGCCGCGACGACGACGGCTCTCCCAAACTTATCTCAGGTTCGCATCAGCATGGACATGCTGGCCCGCTGCCGGCTCCACTCCTCCAAAATTTGCATTCTTGTGCTGCATCACCGCTCTTCCTGGTTGAATTCCACCTGTGCGCCATCTCCTCCCTCATCACAGTCCTCTTTTTTCTGTAGATCCACCTCCTTCCACTCTTCATTCTGCAGGAACTTCTGCTTATTTTCTTCCGGTTAGCTTAAATTTTGTCCTCACATGTAATGTATTTTTGTTTCATCTCATCTCCAACTTTTATTCTATGCCCAGGGATGCATCGGTTCCTCACGACAATGTGATAAGATTCTACTGACAAACAGAGGCACCCTCAGGTAACAATGTAGTGCATGCAACAAAGGAAGGGAACACTCCCTGGAAAGACCAACTAAAAGAAGAGGCTGTATATTCGGATAAACCAATTTGCTGATGCCTATGCTGCAGTATGCCTTTTGTGCTTGCTTTGTTCTATACGATGGCACCTCATGCTTAGCATAGTTCTACATTGTTTTACTTGAGATGAGATGTAGTGTCATATGTTGTACATACAAATTGGTTTATCCGGTTATTTCGGAATACATCGGAGCAAGTGGCTATACATTTTAACTAAAAAAATATATACCTTACTGTTTTGGTGTACACATTTTTATTTCAATGTGTTTCATGTGCTACAACCAAGGGCTGAATTTGATGTGTGCCTAAAAGGGATGTCTCAATCTAATGGTTTGCTCTGGCTCATGACAAAAAAAGGTCCAGTGTTCTTGATGTATATAAAAGTAGCCTTTGGTGACAGCCATTCTCTGGTTCCCTAGATCAAAGCTGCTCATTTTAATTTGCATGTCTTGGTCATATATTTCCATGGTTGTATTACGAAAACTACATGATAGATATGCTCTTTTGTCTTGTGATTATCGTATATTACGTTGTTTTGCATCGTATTTTTTTTCAAGCAGCATCGGCCTAATTTGTTTTTGAAGTGATTGTATTAATTAACACCAGCTCTACCTATCAATTAAGGGCAAAGAGTCTTATGTACAGGATGGGCAAAAGCCCAAACACAACAGCAATCAGTTTGTTCAGTGGTTAGCTCCAAAGTGATCTCTCTTCTATACATACAAAACATGCCATCTTGGTTGATTGAGTCATCGTTATTATGGCCTCTGTCATACTGAACTTCAACATATCCCTTCTTGAACAGCAAGATTTATATAGCCTGTAGAACAATATGCATTTTTGCTCTGAGAAAAATATACTTATCTGTAACTGCACTTTTTAAGGATCTATGGAAAATCATCTCACTTTAGCGTGTATCATGGATATGTGCCTGTTCAATTAGATTATTTGTTTGGTCACTCTAACATGAAGCCCTTATGCATGAAAATAAAATGATGTAGTTTCAGACTATCTGAATTGGTGGCCTCAAAACAAAATGGTGGACCTCGAGGTATGTAATTGTGCAGTGTCAGTTCTACCAATACCTTATGCAGCAAAATAAAATGATTAAATTTCAGGGTATCTGAATTGGTGCCTTCTCAACAAAATGGCATGTATGTACCTGTGCACTAATAGTTCTATAGTTGTTCTTTTCCCCATTTGTGACTTCATGAGTACTGAAAATAACAGTAGGGCCATACTTTTCTTTTTCAAAAAATTGCTTCATTCTATTCAAGTAATACATCCATCCATGCTTGTGCTTTCGACCTGACCCTGCCGTGAGATACTGTGCACTTAAAATCCATGTGCTTCTATCTTTGGATTACTTATGTTATAGAGTTGTTAATGGATATGCTTTGCAGGACTTCTAAAAGGAAAATGATGAATCTGACTTTATCCATCAAGTTTTGATGTTTTCAAGTCGAACCTACATACCTTTTGTTGCTCTGTTCATGTATATTGCTCTAGCCAGTCCCTAGGATGTTTTATCAATTGCTTTAACTGTAGTGGTCCATGCCACACATCCTCTATCTGTATGTATAATTCGTTGCAGTTGTACTTTTGTGTAAAGGACTTGACCAAAACTTCATATAAAGAGAATATTTGGCCTATATGTCTATCCGATTTGACCTTATTAGGGTTCATCAAATTTTGGTTCCAATTGCAATCACCGTTAAAGATTTTATTTACTGCCTGATATTTTCCCCATTTTTTCCCTTCTGTCACAAGGTGTATATAAGTCAGTTATATTTGTTATGCAACTTGAAATCACGCTCTCTAAGAAGGAATTTAGCAAAACCTTATTACTGCAAAATGATCCGCTGACAAAATACCAAATGTTCTGGATGAAGTTTCTAATAATCCAGTCTGATGCACCCACAACATATTGGTTCACGTCATCGCCTGCAACAGGGCGGGTGCGGCGAAGCACGCCACACGTCCTAGTAATTAGAATTGAGAGACAAGAGCGGGAGCTTGAATGCATAGAAGTAAATAGATGAGGTGATGAAGGCTAATGCATCCGAGTACCTTTTTTTTCCTTGAGCAATGAATGATAGTTGCACGTCTACAAGACGTGTTAAAACACTCTAGTTTCATAATAAAGCTTTTTCTTCTGAGTGAAGTCTATTTGACCCTCTAAAGTTTTGTGAATCTAAAAAAACATCCTCTCAACTCAAAAACAAGAAATTTTATTATATCTATCAAAATCAGACAAGTTACCTTTGTCATATCACTTAAGGCCCCCTTTGGAACAAAGGAAAAGCATAGGAATTTTGGAGGATTGCAATCCTACAGGAAATATCTTCTAGCCAATAAAAATTTTGAGAAAAAAAATGTGTAGAGACATTAGGCTAAGATACACCCACATAAAATATTTGGAGCTCATGAAATTATCTTAGGAACTTTTCTAAAATTGGATTCAGTTCTAGAAAAATGGGAAAAATATACCCCAAAAAAATAGAAATTTTCCATATCATTCTAATCGATCTCTAAACACATTTTGAAAAGTAAGATATAAGATGGAACCGGCATGAACGCTACAACACGAATGTGATTAGAATTACTATGATGCATTCATGCTAGTTGCATCTCATGTTTTTGTTGTGAAAATGTTTCAAAATGTGTTTAGACACCGATTATAACGTTTTGGATTTTTCTAGATATTTTCCCATTTTCTAGAGTTCAATCCAATTTTTTTGAATCTTATAGAGATAATTTCAAAATATTTTATTTGGATGTCTCTTGTCCTAATATGTATCTAGGATTTTCCTTGGATTTTTTTGGAGGATTAGATTTTTTGTGGTTTTAAAAACTAATATAGCGTCTACTGGATTTGCTTTTGAACAAAAAAGAATGACACTCAAAATCACTCTTTAAACCACTTTTAACTATGTCCGGTTCTAAAAGTTGGGAGAAAGATTTCTTATTTTTTTGAGTTGAGGAGGAGGTTTTCAAACTCGGTGACACACAGGGGTCCCCCAAGCACACCAAATGCACTATCTCCCCACATCAGCTCCCTATTGATTGATTACTCTTAAATTTACTATGTTGCCGCGAACACCCTCTGCACTCCGAACATCAATAGTGCGGTAGTACAATTTGATACAGTTTGATAACTACTACATACTAGTAATCATGTTTTGATCATTTACTCTGCATGAGCACAGCCTGTACAAGCATACAAGTAGTAGTATCATTTTTCAGAGTAACCCCACTCTCACGCTCAGACATACAAGTGTGCACTGGTCCAGGAAGTGTTCACCAATAGCCATGCTGAGCTTTGGTAAGGTGCAAGCTAGCCTATTGAGTATTGATACAAGCTATTCATTTTTCCTATGCCCATTAGGCCATTATTACAATCAGCTGTACAGTGTAGCTTTGCAAAACATAGCAATTGCGAAGTTCCTTTTAATGACCATTAGTTTTGTGCAATACTGAAATGCCCCCCCTTAATTTCACCTCACCATCCGCCACTCACGGTTGAAAGTTGCTCCCATTTTCATTTTCGTTCGATGAAGCATCATTGCAAGATCAATTACAAAACTATATGTTTTACCTTTTTCGTGACGGTGTGACATTATATAAAGATCAATTGCAAAACTTTACGTTCGATGAGGCCACCTGTGGCACGATCCCAAGGTGAGGTCACGCACGTGGGTCCCAGCAGCGACCGCTCCTCCCTGGACACGTGGCAGCCGTCCCGTGGTCTCCCGCGCAGCCGTCGCATTTCCCGCCGAAAACACCGCCCGCCTGGCTTCCTTCCTTGGTACGGTTCCATTTCCCACTTCCATACCAAAACCCTATCGCCTAACCCTCTTCTCGAACCTTCCGAAGACGTAGCTGCGTCAAGGGACACCTGCCGCCATGGCCCCCAGCACCGCCGACCTCGCCATCCAGGGCGCCTGTGACGGCAACCTCTGCCTCCTCAAGCGTAAGCGCTGCCGCCACCGCCAGCCCTCCACTACTCTCTCTCTCTCTCGTGTAATTCACCCGCATGATTTGATTCCTGCAATTATCTCTGTTGATTAGAAATCTCGAAAGAGTTGGAATTGCGGGGAGTGGAGGGCTTCAAGGGGCGGAGCTTTCTCCACTTCGCGGCGGGCGGCGGGCACGTCGAGGCCTGCAAGTTCCTGGTGGAGGATTCGGGGTTCCATGTCAACTCCACCTCTGCGGAAGGTGAATTGAAACGCCTCGCTGAATCTCGAGCTTCTACTAGTGGATGAATCGCTTAACTGCCCACTTTTTATTCAAAGATTATCATTTATAGCATTCAAAAGATTACCATTTATAGTGCTCCCTCCCCTTCGCAGGCGAGACGCCAATCCTCGTCGCCGCCGAGGCCGAGGGGGACGGGAACCTCCCAGTTCTGAGGTACCTCCTGGATCGCGGCGGTGACCCGGCCATGCCCGATGCCAGGGGATTCACGCCGCTGCACAATGCGGCTGAGAATGGTGTGTTCCTTAGTTCGATTCACCCTCTGAAATGTTCTGGAAGGGGCGGAAACTTTGCCATCCTTTCGCATGCCTGTCCCAGGGCACTACGAGGCTGTGAGGCTGCTGCTGTCCAAGGGCATTCCTGTTGATCCTCTCAACCATCGTGGTACTCCGTGGATTGTTGCTGCAGCAATGGGCCAGGACCAGGTTGTGAAGATCCTCCTGGATCATGGCGCTGATGTAAGTTACTCCTGCTGTGTTGGCAATTGATACTGTAGAGAAATTTAGAGAACACAATGGTCGGTGAATTTTCTGAATCCTTATTTTTCCAGTGACCTCACTAGCTAATCAAAACTCTGATCCATTTTCACTTTGCAGCCCAACAAAGTTGTCCATTATGACCATTCACCACTCACGATGGCATGCTGTGCGCGTTCCTTGAAATGTGTGAAGCTACTGACTCAGGTCCTGGTACTTACTGACTTCCTTGAAGTATGCTATATGGTCATTTTTATGCCTGAATATATATAAAGGATAGAATGTAGGCTAACTAATTGAGTAATTGATCTTGCTACATCCATTGACATTGTCTTCCTCATCACACATGGAATCCGCTCTAAATCTACCTGACATATTTTTCATTCTCTAGGCTGGTGCTGATGTGAACTCCAAAAGTCCGCATGAGCTACCTGTTTTAATGATAGCAGTTAATAAGGGCTTAACTGATACTGTCAAGTTCTTACTGGAGGTTGGAGCTGACCCTAACATTCCTGATATGGTAATCTCATTCATGACTATCTTTGTCCCTGCTGTTTATTTACTTTGATGCTGTGTGGTTCACTGTCTCATGATCATCTGTATATCCTAGTATAATGAAACCAAGGTCTCAGAGGATCTGAAGCTAGTTCAGTCCCCTATTGGCTATTGAGACCTTTTAAGTTGCTCATTTATATTAGCAGTCATAGCCTTTGCTCTTGTTTTCTAGCTAACTGTTGCTTAGATTTTTTTTTTGAAAGATCAGTTACCGGCTTATTATTAATTACGAGGGAAGCAAATACAAAACGTACCAGCGGTACACCAGGAAAGTTTAGATAGCAGGTCAAACGACCCGCAGCCGACCCTAGAAATACAACGTGATTACTAGCTGCTAGTTAAACGACAAAGGAAAAAGGGGATTGTCATCACAAGAAAAGAAAAAAGAGGACTAACCACTCGGCCCTACTCCAGCCCCAGACAAGAGCATGTCTAGGTGTTTGTTCCCTGCCTGCACCCACAAACGAGCCTCATCTTGTATCTTTGAGATGATCTGTGGGAAGTTCCTTTCTCTGGAAAACACATCTATTCCTCTCCTTCCAAACTGTCCAGGTTATCAGGATAGCAAGCACAAGGGTCCTAGGAGCAGCGGCAGGTGCTGCACCTGCCAAGGTGCCCTTGAACCAGTCCAAGAGACTGCTCATACCCAACCAATTACAAGGATGTAGACTTGCTTGTTTTGCCCAAATTGTTGTGCCCTCCCAGACCTTCAAAACAATTGGGCATTCACAGAAAAGGTGTTGTGAAGTTTCAAGATTCCTGTAACATAACTTGCAAAAACTCTGAGTTTGGCCAGCCATTGCAGTCGAGCGGCAGTCCACAGTCTGTCTTGAAGCAGTAGCCACATAAAAAACTTACAGCGTGGGATAACTTTGACGTTCCAAACATATCATTCCATATCCAAACGCATTGCACCTTCAAACTGCAGTAAGTATGCCAACCGTGAGGAGTATTCACTGTTTGCAGTGTATCTCCAAGTTATGGAGTCCAGGTCTTCAGTGCTCAAGTTGAGCTCTGCCTCCCGCAGCATGGTGAACAAATTTACAAAATCATCGATAACAGGGGTTGTCAGGTTGTGATCAATGTCGGCAATCCAGTGGTCATCCTCCATTGCAGCAGCCACTGTTCGATTCTTGCTCTTGCTATGAGAGTATAGCAGCGGGAATAGGGAGGACAAAGTTGTGTCTTTCATCCAGCTAGAATTCCAGAAAGACGCCTTCCTGCTATTCTTAACCAGGACACAAGTTGAAACATTGAACAATGATATATCCATCTCATCAACTGGTAGCTCCATACCAGCCCATGGCTTCTGTGGGAAAATCCAGTCAAACCACAGCCATCTTAGCCGAAGGGCCCTGCTGAAGCACTCCAAATTCAGAATTCCAAGTCCCCAAAATTGTGTAGGTTTGGTGCAGATGAGCCAGCTTACTTTACATTTAGTGCCTGTTAAATCCTGTTACTCGGCCCAAAGGAAGCACCTCGCATTTAGGTCCTTGATGAACTGCTTAGGTGTTCGCAGGGCCGTGAGCAGGTAATGGGTTGTGAAGACAACACTGATGGTACCAACTCACGCCGTCCTGCTGGGTTGAGCAGCTTTCCTTGCCAGCCAGCAAGCTTGGCCTTTGCTTTGTTCTGTGTAGGTTGGGTGCACCATCCTTAGTCGGCCAAGTATTAGAGGCAAGCCCAAATAGTTTAGCAGAAAATTTACCCTGTTTCCAGGATAGGCCTGCAGGATCTCTTCTAAGTCCAGATCAGCACAACAGATAGTGGCAACCGCACTCTTAGCAAGGTTTATAGTCAGGCCAGTAGCTTTACTAAAAAGGTTCATAGTGTCCATAACCATGGAAATGTCATGCTTGTCCGGATTGGTGAACACGACCACGTCATCAGCATATAGCGATAGGCGCAATGTTGTGCAGCGTCCCCTTAGTGATTACAACGTCCCAACCGAATCAGCAAGCCCAAATACTCGCTGCAAAGGTGTCAATTGCCAAAATGCACAAGTATGGGGAGAGAGAGTCTCCTTGATGGAGACCCCTTTGGTAATGAATCCTTTGTCCTGGAGCACCATTCAGTAAAACTGAGGAGGATGAAGTTGTGAGTAGAGCAGAGAGCCAGTTCGCCAACGTTTACTAAAACCTCGGTGTTGTAACAATTCTGGCAGATAATCCCAAGAAACTGTGTCAAAAGCTTTTGAGATATCCAATTTAAGGAGACGACAGGCTGGTATCTGCTTCCTATGGTATGCTTGCGCTAAGTTCCTTACATGTAGGAAGTAATCTTGGATACTCCTCTTCTTGATGAAAGCGCTTTGGGAGATGGATACCAAGTTATTGATATGTTTGCAGAGTCTGATGGACAGGACTTTGCGACCAGTTTTGCAAAGGAGTGTACTAAGCTTATTGGTCTAAAATCCTTGGGTTCATAAGTCGTCTCCTTTTTTGGGATGAGGGTGATGTTAGCTCCATTAGTCTGAGGCAATGCGTTCGTGTGTAGATGGTGGAAACTGGAGGAAGCATTCAACACTTCACCCTTAATGATACTCCAGCAGCAGCGATAGAAAACACCAGTGAAACTGTCCGGTCCTGGCACCTTTTCAGAAGGTTATTGTTGTATGGCCTGCCGCACTTCCAGCTCGGAGAAGGGGCCTATCCATACGCTCCACCATGGCATTTGTTAAGCATGTCAGGTTCAATAAGTCCCAATTGAAAGAGTTGCTCCTGGTCTCCTTCTGCCCTAAAATGCTGTTGAAGTAATCAGCGATAATGGTTTCCTTTTCCCCCTGTGTATATAATACACCAGGGACCGGTCTGGTTTGCGCCAAGCAGGGATGTAGTTTTGTACAGTGTGTGTATTCTATGCAGATTTTTGGGTTACTTTGTTTTGGTCTGCGTGATATGATCAGATCTTCTGAGGTTTGCAGCTTTAGTTATAAATACTGCAAAGACGTCTTGAATGATTTTGTAAAGTGTATTATATATCAAAATTGCTTCTCGGAATTGTGATGCCTGGGAGGTCCAAAGCATGGGATTGAAATCCCACTGTCGAAAATGTTAGTCAGGTACAGGTGCTATGATTTCCTGCACTTGATGACTAACCAGAATTTAAGAGGGACTGATTTTGCATGGTTTCCTCTAAATTTTTCTCTGTATTTAACATTATATAGGATCATCAATATGATTGTTATGTTATATATTCTTAGAATTCTTTGTTGTTGGTCTTTTCTCCTTTCATGCTAGACTATGTCACCTTCCACTTTTGTCTTTGCATTGAAGCGTGGGAATTTCCCAATCATGTTAGCAGCAGGTCATGAACATCGTGAGCTAGTTTGTAACAGAACCGACCAAATCATAAGAACGTAAGTACAAAAACAATCACCGAAGCGATCAAATTCCTGTACTTAAGCTCTCATAATCCCGGTAGTCCGGAAATCACGAAGGATTTCAACCAACTCTCGACATTCAAACCAAGACCGTAGTGATTCAACACAACACATCATCCGTTACAACATTTCACAAGTAGCATTCGGATTACATCCATCAGAGTTCAAATAAAATATTACAAACCAAGTTCAAATGTGCGGAAGCAACATAGTTTAGTACATAACTTCATAGTTTCAAATACATTGCCAGATCTTAGTCATGTCCCACAAAAGCATCATCAGGTACGAGAACTAGCAGAGACCGCGCCCAACGGTCTAGTCTTCATCCCCAGCCGGGAGAAGGCAATACTTGCAGCAACCAAAGTAGAACTGGTTATCTGCAACAGGTGGGAGATAAACCCTGAGTACGAGAAGGTACTCAGCTAGACTTACCCGTCAAAACCAGAAATAAAAGACACCAAGGGTCATGCAAGGCTTATGAGGTGGGCTAGCTTGACACAGTTGCATAAAAGAGCTTATGATTATAGTAACCAATTTAAACTTAGCATCAAGCTTATCATCATTTACCTGTCCACTAGATTAGCACCTGTACTAGAGCACTCACTTATTAGGAGCAAACAATATTAACCATAGCAGGTATAATAAGGCTGTCATCATCATATCATCATTTCTGAACCATTATGTTATTTAGTGTATCTACATTGGAGATAAGCCCGTCAAGTTCTCACTAACCGGGAGAGACGGCGACTCGAATCGAATTACAACTCAGCTGAGGGGGTATTCCTAACTCTCACCCTGGCATACTTAGCAAGGGTAGCCGTGGGTCACCTTTGGAACAACTCAGGAACCAAATTCGCGGGTTCGATCAGCGCCAGCACTCTCAGGGATTACCCTTCTGCCAGGACGATCAGGACTTTTAAATCACCTGCCCTTGGACTCACGCCTACGGCTCCCTTCCGAGGCGCACTTTATACTTATCGACTCCCGGCCTGAGGTGAGCTACTCGGCTTCGTGGTCGGTCTTCGGACACGGCCAACTAAGAGAGAGGCATGCGTTCAACATGAACAGGAAAGGCTCCAAGATTCAGTCCTTAATCGACACAGACGGAGTCACTGCAAACCGGCAAGCCTCCGTCCGGTCTTCATTTCAAATTAAGACTGGTTCTTTTCCACGATAGCAAATATAGCCAACCGTGCCATATGTATCTTCCTATATCTCGCAGGTGACAGGAAATCACCTGACTTCTACCGTGTTTAAGCAGGGCTAAGCACTACACGAACTTGAACTACATAGGATTCAGGGTATCAATATCTGGACAAGGATTGGATAACCAATGCAGCAAGTGTTTGCATCCAACACCTAAACTTAATGCAACAATATATATATGTAACAATAATACTGTAACTGCATTTCGAAAATTAGGAGACTTAATATGCTCCGGGGCTTGCCTTTCACAAAGTTGCACGGACGGTGATCCGGGCACTCAACGGCGACCTCGTCTGGCACTTCTCCTGAAGGCTGCACCTCCTGAATCTCCGGTGTCGGCTGCTGCTGCTCGCTCGGTTCCTCGAATTCCAATAGGGTCACTCCTTCCGGTACACCTATTGCATGCCGATGCACAAGATAAATATCATAGATGCATAAGAAATAACATGATGCTCATGATGAATGAATCATAGTAAATGTTTAACGAAAACATCACTAGACACTCGTTTACCGAGTAAGAATAGCCC